AAAGACATTATCTATTTTCTATATTCTGCTACAAACAAGCAGAGATTTTACCTATTTTCTATATTCTGCTTGCAACTTTAATTTTTTCAAACAAGAGAGCTGTCTAACCAATGTACTTATCTTGTGAGACTTAAACTAAATGGTAGAACTCTTTTTGCAAAATAAGGCAGTCTTTGCATATTGGATGCTGCCTATTTTTTTAATTACATTCATATTTCCTTTCATAAATAAAAGGCTGTCCAAGTGATAACCTGTTGAAAAGCAAGTATGTGTAGCTCTGCATAGCACTTCCAAAGACTTTCTGCTCTGGTATTACTCAACTACTTGTAGTTCCCTGCACATCATGTGGTCCCATTTCACACATCTGTGCCTTTGCACACACTGCCCATTCACTAAATGGTGCTTCCCAGCCTTTTTTTACTTGGTAAACTCTTTCATATCCTTTAAATTTAAATTTCCTGATCATCCTATAAAGAATCACTTCCCTCCATATGGCTTCTTTTATGATACACACACACTTATCTCTGCTAAAATGTATGTCATATTGTGTTCTATTTATTTACATAATTTTCTCCCCTACCAGAATATAAGTTCCTGAAGGTTAGGGACTATGTTTTATCTATGCTTTTACCTCCAGCAGCTAGTAAAGTGTCTGACAGGGATAGAGTATACAATAAATAAAATTAAAAGCAGAGACAGAAAGATGCAATGACCTTCCAAGGAGCAACAAGACAAATAGTTGACTTTTTAACAGAAACAATGAAAACCCATAGAGAATGGAATGACATCTTAGACTACTAAAAGAAAATATCTGCCAACCAAGAATTCTATATTCAAAGACTATATCTCAAAAATAAAATCAAAATAAAGGCATTTCCAGACGCACAAAAATGGACAGAATTCATTACCAGCACAAAAATACTATAGAGACTGCTTCAGGCAGAAGGAAAACCCCAGAAATGAAGGAAGAAATGATGAGCACTATAAAGGGTAAATATGAATAATAAAACATATTTGATTAACCCAAAAGAAGGATGAAAGGAGAGAAAAAGTATCATGAAACAACTAGGCAGGTCAAACGGAAAGCAAAAAGATTGCAGCTATAACCCATATATATCAATAATTGCATTACATGTAATTGGACTAAATACTCCAATTAAAAGGATTATCAGACTGGATTTTTAAAAAACTATATGCTGCTAATAACAGACATTTTAAATATTAGTACACAGAAAGGCTAAAATAAAAGGATAAAGAAAGATACACCATGCCAACACTAAATAAAAATATAAGGTCACTGAACTTGTGAAGTTTAACATCTAATTCAGACAGTAGAAACTGACATAAAATTCAAGATGAGGGGATGAACTCTTAAAAAAGAAAATTACATCATTAAGATTAGAAATGTATTTTAGTAGTTGATGTCCAGAGTGAATTTTCTCTCTCTCTCTCTCTCTCTCTCTCTCTCTCTCTCTCTCTCTCTCTCTCTGTCTCTCCCTCCCCCTCCCTCCCCCTCCCTCTAGTTAGAGCTTTCAGTGCCTAAGAGGAATGTGCAACATTTAATGCACAGAGGAGGAAGAGTCCATAAAGGATGAGATGGGAGGGGAGAGACGTAGAATTGGAAACCAGATCTCAGTGGGTTTGACTGGAGAAAATGAAAAAGTAATAATTATAGCCTATTCTTTTAAGAAGTCTGGCTATTAAAGGAGGGATATAAGAGTAGTGACCACAGGAAGATACAGAATTGAGAAGTAATATTGCTTTCCGTTCTGAAAATGAGAGCAATTTAGGTATATTTGTATTCTAAGGGAAAAAAGCCAGGTGACAGAAAACGGTTGAAGACTCAGAAGAGAGACAGTACACATGATAAACAAGGAGTCTGAAGAAGCTGCAGCTTTGGATAGGAAGAAGACTTTTTTCCTTGATATGGGAAGAAAGGAGGCAAAGTGGTTAAGGTGGATAAGTCTGTACACAGGGGTAACAAGTAGATGAAGTTCTTGTGTGATAGCATGGTGGCAGGGGAGGAAGTAATTAATTTTTATTGTATTTTACAAAAGTACTGGTCTCTGTGACGTATTTGGGGGGAGGTGGGAAATTAACTGGTCTTTCACCACAATTAGGCTGAGAAACATTATACTAGATCATAAAGCCCAGAGCATGGCAGAAAAGGAGAAAAGTCAGGGCAGACTAAAACCTAAGACACTTTGGATAGTTTGCCTGTAAGAAAAGAGGGACTACATGAGTAGATATTGGGACCAGAGATAGAGGTGACAATGATGTGAAGCAGATGTCAAAGTCTGAAGGAAAGTGGGAGAAGGGCCAGAAAACAGGCAGTGACAGCAAGGAGGAGAGCAAGGGCCGTGGTACTGATACGTGATTACTCATCTTGATCATGTAGTAATCATTCTCAACAAAGAACAGAAAAGCATGTTCCTAGTGAGTAGATTCTTCATCTGATTTTACTAGAAAGAACACCCCACCCCGACACAAATTGGATTAATACTGTGGCTGAGATCATCAATCAGAGTACAGAAGTCTCTCCCAACAGAAAGTTTCTATCACGCCAAATTCTAGCATACATACCTTTTCAGCAACTGTGCGCATTTCAGTACCGGTATATGCAAATTTGGAGTCAATCCTATTGGGGAGAAATTAGAACAAAATGGAACTGGGGTTTGGAATATATTCAAGAATTAAACAAAGTAATGGGATTAACAGTTTTTGCAACAAAACTTTAGCAGAGACAAAAGAGGAGGAGGGAAAGTGAACAGGCTGCAGTCATACATCTGTTAAAAGCAATCTGGGACATGTGCGCAAGCGGCTGAGTGCATAAAGTTTTCTCAGGCAAAGCTGAATTCCGAGAATCCTGGGTACTAAGGAGGGTATTAAGGAGGCTTGAGAAGAACACCATGCTATGCTCTTAAGTTTAAATAAAAGTCACCAAACGGTTCACCCCCTCAAGCATTCAAGCTACTGGGGACCTGCTGAGATCACTGTAGGGGCGGGGGGTGGAGTGTGTGTTAGAAAGCCATTGACAATTTAAAGGAATGGATCAACGGGGGGAAATACTTCCTAATGTGTATATCATCTGCCACAAAGAAAATTACCGGCATCTCACTGACACTTCAGGAGAGAGAGAAAATAAAACACATCAAGCAAGAAAACGGAAAATAATTGCACCAAATGTAAAATACATTGGTAGTCTTTTTAATAAGTCTTGATTCCAGCCAACAAAATTCTAAGAGCTTTCACAGGTTCAGTTACGATCTTGGTTCCCACAACCATATTTCTCACATAGGGAAATATGTATCTTAACTGAAAATCCTCTTCCTAGGACGTAAGGGGGAACCAATCTTCAGGGTTGGAGTGGAACTCTAACTGTATCATTGAGGGAGCTCCGGACTCAATGATAATTTAAGGTATAATCTGTGCACAACACTGCCAAATTTGTCATAATTCTGAGTTAACAATGATTTAGAGATTATAAGATATGAGTAAAGAAACATAGTCTTACCTTGTGTCATCATTCAACTAGAGTGGGAAAGAGCAGAAAATATTGATCACATTACGCTTATATGAGGTACAGGGATGCAGATTATATGAAAATTAGTTCATGTATTCGTGCACACTGGCATGAAAGGCTGGAGAAGTACTTCCCATTGTAAACGGCTAAACTCTGTTTCCTCACCCTCTTCCGCCCCTTCTGCAACACTTTACGTAGCGAAACTTCTGCGTTTTTGAGAGCCCTCTCCTGTCCTTCGTTTCCTCGATTCGCTTAGAATCCTTTGTCTATACCTCTGCTTTCCTAGAGGGCAGAGTGGAGGCAAAGCAGGGGGCCCTAAGCCTGGCCTGCTGCTCCCTAACCCGGCGACGCCCTCATTACACTACAGTGTCTTTCGGGCCTGACTTGCAGTGTTGGTCAATGGGGTGATAATCTCAGACGGACAGGAAAGCCGCAGGGTCCAAGAGAAAAAGCCAGGGCCCTCCAGGGGCTCTGGAGACCGCACGCGCAGCATCAGGGGGCCGGAGGAGACGGGGACCCTGCGACAGAACCGTGTAAAGGATGTACCAGGATGCAAGTCAGGGCTGCCTGTGGCCTCCGCAGTCCTGGGCGCCGCCGGCACCCAGCCCGGGGACACGCTGGGACTGATCCGCAGGGCTCGGCCGGGCTGACTCACCTCCCCTATACACAGCCCCATCACCTCCTCCTTCTCTGTGCTCAGAGCGTGGTTCAGACAAACCAGGAAAGCGTCAGACTCGAGATGAACCGCCTGCACCGCCTGCACCACCTGCACCGCCATCTTGGCCCGGCCTGCTCGCGTCTGCTGGGCCCGCTCCGGCCTGACCAGCGGGTGCTCCGGCGCAGCCTCCCCGGCGCCCCGCGCTCTGCGCTCCGCCCAGGCCTCGCCGTCCGGGCGGGGGTTCCTCGGGGGGCG